GTCAACTGGCAGCTTGACCAGCGCTCTGGTGGAAAAAGCGTGAAGTTTCGAAAGAAAAACAAAAAAATCATTTCTTTTGTTTAGACAGCAGCAATTTAAACAGTTGTCTGCTTTTCAAATCACATGCCTTCGTCAACTTAACCTGCAGGTGTTTTGCTAAAGCTTGTAATATTTATGCAAATACTGGTTTTAATTTTAAGTGCAGCCTTAATTTACTTGAATTCTTTGTGGATTTTTGGCAATATTATTCGAATCATTTTATCAACAAATTTGTAAACGTATTTAAACACTCTTTGGTGTGATATTCTTTGCAATATATATATTTTTTTATTCTTTAAACTTTAAATTCCAACCAAATTCCTAATTTTTTAAAACTACATTCAATAAAAATATAATTTTTTGTGTTTTTTTTATAGGCACACATACAAATGCTATTTTGTTGCAATAAAGCAAACGCAATAAATTTTCTCAAATTTTAAAATTTCAAATTTTTATCGAATTTTTTAAAAGGGTTAAAATTGCTATACTTAGTTACAAAATACTGAAATTATTCGAATGAACTTGATTTGTTGTTTCAGTAATATCATTTTTCTTTTGTTGTGTATAAATATATACTTACAAAAACTAATTCTTTAAAAGTTAAGCATGCTCAAAAAAATTTCACAACTCAAATTTTTGAAAAAGCTTGGAATAATTTGAATAAACTTGGTTTGTTATCGCAAAATTACAAATAACAAAAGTGTTTCTATTGAAAAGAAGGAAAATATATATTTGTTGAATTTCTTAAAGACTGTAATATTTTCCATAAACTGTAAATATATACAAGTATTATCTAAAAGTCGAGTCGATGGCCAAGGTAGCTAGCACTCCTAATTTGTAATTAGTTCTTATATTATAATCTATGCATAGCAACTAATTTAAATAAATAAAAATATATTTGTTTATAGTTCTGTAATAAGCTCATTATCTATCGAATAATCTGTTCCAGAACCATAAACCTAATGATTGTATAATATTTTGTATATTTTTGAATGAACAAATTTTATAAAATTCATATTTTTTATAAAACAGAATTATTCGTTAACCTTTTTTAACATCTGAATTTAAAACCCTGTAAACTGTGGCCAAAAAATTGCCACTGCTTACTAAAACCGTTTAAGTGCCTAACACATATAGCTTTATCAAAAGTTGGTGGAAAAATTTAGCAGCAATTCCAATTATTGCGAGGCAGCGTGATTTTGTTGAAACTCTAGACGATCTACAGGCGCATGCACACACATGCTCGTGGAGTGGTGGACTCATAAAAAACTCACGAACGCTAATCAACACAAATTGCTTGTTGTTGTTGCTGCTTTTGTTGTTTTTGCTTGTGAAAGTGCAGGCAAGAGTGAGAGTACAAGTGCGAGTACATGTTTATAGATATTTTGTTTCTACAGATTGCCACACACTTGTTGCTGTGCTCATAAAAATCATTTCAAACGCCCACACACACACACACACACACACGAACAGTTAGTCGAGTGTGTGTTATAAAAAAGCTTTTACAACAATTTTGCGGCATTAAAAATCTTATCGCGCCCCAAACGCATTATCTGTGCCTAATCGCTGGAGTGCGAGCGCCGAAAAATGTGGCCCAGAGGAGTTGCACAGTTTTTTCTTTCTTTTTTTCTTTTTTTTTTTTTTGATATAAAGAAATTAAATTAACACCTGATGGCGGCGAACGTCACAAACACACACACACACACACGCACACTCAGAGACATAATCAAGACATTACAGCCAAGTTGACGACCCTGCGGCAGAAAAGCGTAAGCAACAACCTGAAAAACATATCAAAAATTTATAAATTAAATGTTTACACATACACATGCATATGTGTGTGTATATATATAGCAACCTATATTGGTGGCAGGCGCTGTATCTATGTGCCATCTCAGTGACGTTTCAATGACGACAACAACACACTCAGACACACATACATGCAGCGACTTCGCAATGCACAGTGGGCGAAATGTCCGAACTAAATTGGTGGGAACTTCTTTATTTCTGTTGTGTGTGTGTGAGTTGTTGAGGCCTGTTTCGGTCTGAACTTCTATTATAAGTGTTGAAAAGAGCTAGCCGAAGGGCAAATAATATTCCCCCACTGGGTCGGAGGCGTTAATTACATATTAATGTAATTTAACTAGATTTACAAGTATAAGATGCATTTTATAATTTTGATATATTTCCGATGTCGACAGTCAATGTTTGTTGACATAAATAAATAAATAAATTTGGGTTGTTTTCTTGTCTTCATTTCGTAGATTCTTAATAACTTTTTATTGACTCGTCTCAATTATTATCAAGACTTGCAGTACAGCTTCTATCTCAAATCAAATGAAAAACTATAATACGATATCGTTACATCTTGTAACTAGTCATATCTGCAGAAACAAAGAAGGTGTTCTCTATAGTTCTACGGTCAGACAGGCAAACAATTAGGTGTAGATTTTTACACTACAACAGAAAATCAGATTTTGTTAGCTTCCAGGCAATTCATGTTCACACGGTCGGTGTTTATCGATAACGATTACATACTATAAAGCGGGTTATTTCTGGAACAGCTTGTCTTTAAATAAAATTTTGATTGAAAAAACAACGAAAAAGAAATTAGCTGTGCTGTGTGTTTGAACAGGAACTTTCCAAACATGAAAAGTTAAAAACAAAAGGACAGTGTTTGAACCAGAAACAGAATTACAAATACAATAACTTAATTTTTAGAGTATCTATTTTGAAGAATTCTGCAATAACATTATTTTGAGCTCCGTTTTTTTTTTTTTTTTTTTTTTTTTTGTATCATCTATCTGCGGAGACGAAGCGAATTATCTGCTTTTAAGAATCAACCCGCATTCTCGATAAATGTGAGGTGCATGGTATTCAGACCTTTTAATTGGCCAACCGATAAAGCAAGCTTGATTCAGCAGACGTTTTCTTGCGAGCAACTTTCTGTGTGTCTGACCTTAAAACTTCTCTTGAATACTTGGTTTTTTTAATAATTCTTGGGATTTATATATCTCTGATTACATATTTTTAAAGTTGTATGCATTTGATTATTTAAATTTATTTTCTTTAATCAATCATTATAACTTTGAAATAAGTAGCTTGCAAATTCTGCCCACTGTGCGATGTGGCGATAAGACGGCGGCAAAAAACGCGCCCAAAACGGTAGGCGCGACATGGACGCGACTTGTTCTGCGTCTGCCTGCCTCTCTGACTTGGCTCTCTGGCTGGCTGCCTGCTTGTTAACGGTTTTGCTTGTCGTCGTCATGCCTTATCAGTTGTACAAATTTTTGAACCAAGTAAAAATGAACTTCGAAAAAAAAGCACAAAACTTGAATGCATTTTTTTTCGTTTTTTTTTTTGGCAGGCTGTAAATTAATTTGGCAAACGCTTTGTTATTCCGCTCTTTGGCAACTGGCTGATATTTCTATGCAAATGCAGGCAACTGAAAAATTGATTGACTTGCACCATGACTAACTGATTGGCTGAATGACTGACTGACTCACCCGTCGTGTGTGTGTGTGTGTGTGTGTGTGTTTTGCTAATCAGGTCGCACAGTTCATTAAATGAAAATTTATGCCATTGAGTGCTTAAGTAAGTATAGCATGGCCTTAACACAAAAATACGTTTATATAGCAAATAATACAATAATTTGTTGGGCTGCACACCAACACAGCCATCCACCATCCCCACCATCCACCGATTGCCAAATCAAGTGTCTAACTTAATGATGCTCAACATAAACATCGGACTCGAACACTTTTCTAGAACAAAAAACAAGAATGCTCAGTTTTTCGGCTTTTTCTTGGATTTGGCAGGCAACTATAAACAACCCCCTGGCAGGCATTTAGCGTTACGTAGTTGTTCGTTTTTTAGCCCAAAAAATAAATTTTATGAGAACTTTCAACTTTTCGTTTGTGGAACGTTTGTGGAACTTTTCGTTAGGTGGGCGTAATACCTCCACTCTCAGCTCTAGAGCCGTATATTAGTTTATGTTGTTTTTTATGCATTCAAGAAAAATAAACTACAAATTTGTGGCAGCAAACAGCAAGAAGATAAGTAAGTGCGTAAATAATTATTTACTTATGGCGCCCAAAACTCGTAAACAAGCTGAAAACCAAGACGGCAGAGCCAGAGAGGTTCAAAGTTCGATATGAATTCGCAATTTGTTGAATTCCACATGAAATGCTTTTGAAATAGTGATTTAAATTGTGATTTATGCTGAACAAGCAAGAGCTCTTATTTCATTCTTGAGAAATTCCAATCGATTTGAAAATATTTCATAAATTTAGTTGACAAAAATTTCACATTTATTTCCCAGAAAAAATTGAAATATATTTTCGAAATTTTGTGATCATAGAACTGAAACCGGAAGCTGTAATTACTCATGTTTTCCCTTTGAGAGAATGATTTAAAGAAAATCATCTTTAGAAACTGAACTTGTATTTGTTCATTTAAAAAAAATAAAAATAAAATAAAAACGACGGCTTTTTTTACTGAATTTTAATTTAAATATCTTCACTTAAATTGCAGATTATCCATGAGAATTAATTCTTAAATAATAACCGATAAAGGTAAGTCGATAAATATACCTCTCTCTTCAATATATTATTTTTCTTGTCAATAATAATATGATCATATTTAAAATAGGTACTCTTTTTTATTAATAATCGATAGCTAGAGATAGAGACAATCTGAAATTTGGAAACAAATTTGTCCTCTATTCGCTGTATTCAAATTCTTCAACGCTACTGAATATGAACACAATATAAATATATAGTTTCTTGATCATATTTTAAAGTGGTAATACTAAATTATAAAGATAATAAGATAATGAGCTTCTCTACTGGCTGCATTCAGCTTATTGTCGATAAAATGAGAATAGTTTGATAAAATTTCTTTATAAACTTTATTCACTAGATTATAATATGTATAATAAGAAATATATATTCTCTACTCACTGTATTCAGTTTCTTGTTGTGTGCCAACCACAGTGCCATCGGGCAGTATTTGTAGAAAGCGATTCTTCATATAGAGCTGAATTTTGCGCGATGTGGTCAGATGGGTGACTGTGGAGCGTTCGTTGCGATCTAAATTGTTGTGATTGTTGTTGTTGTTGTGATGGTGGTTGTTGCTACTGCTATTTATGTGTAGGTTACTTCTAGAATTATTCAGTCTTTTTGTTTTCGAACCAATAAAATTGTTATCAATATTAGCAGCAGTTGCCAATTGTTCTTGTTCTTGCTGTTGTTGGTGTTGGTGTTGGTGATGATTGTGGTGGTGTTGTTGTTGTTGTTGTTGATGGCGTATACTGCGCTCCGTGCGTGAGAGTATTGCTAAGTGTTCGCGTGACGCAACTGAGAAGACAAAGCCCATGAGCTTCTCTTCAAATTCCTCATCGATCTCCCGAGACTCCGTTGAGTTCTTTGAGTCTCGCTTAGCCAATTGTTTTGTTGTAGTTAGGGCACTTCTCTGCTCTTCAATTTGTTGGGATTGCTGTTGTGGCTGTTGTTGTTGTTGTTCTTGTTGTTGTTTTTGTTGCGGTTGTGCTAACGTTCGTACATTAAATTCAGCACTAATACTTTGATTCTGTTTAAAACTAAACGATTCAGCTGGCAATACACTACTATGACTATGATCACTTTTTATGTTTGTTAATGTAAGATTATTGGTATTATTATTATTGTTATTATTGCTAACATATATATTTTTTGTTATGTTTGTTAGGTTAAATATTGTATTATTATTGTTCGACATCGTCAGCGCTGGCATGGCAAACACCAGACCCGGCCAGGCTATAATAAACGATAGGAGGGCGCCCAGCAGCGCCAGGGCCCTCCAATCCAAACGCAGGTTTATTCGCATGAAAATTTATAATTGCAATTCCACAAAAACTGTGTTCGATTGTTTGTTTCTTTGTTGTTATTATTATTATTATGTTTTAGTTTTATGTTGAACTTCAAATACGTCGCAGTTGCCTCAATTTTTGCTGCCCCTTTGCTAGCATTTCTCCCGGATTTTTGTGTTTTACTTAAAAATTTTACTTTCGTTTCTTTTTCGTTGGGTTTTGTTATTTTTTTCTTTCTTTTTTTTTGTTGCCTTGTTGTAAGTCTTGCCACTGGCTTTTGAAAATTAGGTTATCATATCGTAGACTTGTTCAACACTTTTCAATTTCAAATGTTGCCCCACTTGCTCTTCTGGCTGTTGCTGTTGATCTTCATCTTCGTCTTCCTCGCTGATATTGCATCTTATCAGTTTCAATGACTTTCTTGTCATGTCAACGAGCTACTATTTCCCGCTACGCTTCCTCAACAGACAATGCTGATAGGTCGGCACTTGTTGTCCTTCAATATCTTTCAGCAGGTCCACCGATAAAGCTGCAACATACTCTCTCTGTGCGTGTAGGTGTGTGTGTAAAAGCTGCAAAGATAGAGAAAAAGTTAAGATGTATGTTGGAAATGCATCGAATTAATTGAAAATAAAGTAAAAGTTAGCTTACATAAATTTATAAATACTAATAATAATAAAGTTTAGAACTCAAATAGCTTCTTAAATACTATATCAGCGCTAATTCCTTTTTTAGTTTAAGAATATACAATCTACATTTCGAAGTCAATGATATATTATTGAATTAAACAGAAGATGTTTCTAGATCTTAACTATAATTCTTTTAGAAGAAGATGTTTCTAGATCTTACTATAATTCTTTTAGAAGAAAAACAAAAGATTATGTACTTTTTTCAGTCTTTACTAAAGAACTAAAGTTTGCGAAAACATAACTTTATTTCATTCTAAAGAAGAAATTATAAAAATAAGTATGTAAACAAAAGTTTGGATATTGTTGCAAGCATATAAAGGGAATCCACTTGTGAATGATTGAGTTATATTTGCTTTAAAAATGTTTAAATTTAGAACCAAGATTTAAATTCCCATATAGAAAATATAGCTTTCTTTTATTCATAAGAATAAATTATAAAAATAAGTATGTAAACAAAATCTTGGATATTATTGTTGCTTTTCTAAAACAAGCATATAAAGGGAATCCACTTGTGAATGATTGAATTCTATTTGCTTTAAAAATTATTAAATTTAGAACCAACAGAACATTTAAATTCCCATATAGTGCCTATATAAGTGTCTATAGCACTATCAGTGCAAATAATAAATTGCAACAGATCAGCTGACTTTACAGGCATATGCATATATTTAAAATCATGTCTATAGCTAGTCCATGTCATATGACAATCGTGTAAATCTTCTGTGTCTGCACATTTCCGCAGCTTAGCAGTGTCAGAAATTATGGCATTTTCGAATTGACTTTGAAACATTCTCGAGGCAGCGGCCAGAACTACTATAGCATTGGATTAGGTAAAAATTTTGCAAATGGCTACATAAATTAGCCAACTTAAGCGTTTTTATTTGCAATTTTGACATTTAATTAGTGTTCGGCTGAAAATAGATCGTCGCGAAGTGGCACACAAAGTTTATATTTAGGGACAATCAACGTCAGATCCGCACATATAGATCTGACGACAGACGCATCAATTGGTCAGTAAGTGTTGCAGATATATGCAAACTATATATCTCTAGCTCCACATACATATATATTGTAAGTGATTTGAATTGTTGCAAGCAAGGAGGCGCCTTTTTTTAAACCAGCAGCTTGTTATGCAAACTCGTAAAGTGAAAACACGAGAAATGACTTTCCCCAATGAAAAATTGGGCAAAACTACACGAAATGAAAAGGAAAGAAAACAGCAGCAGGGGAGGGGGGGGGGGGGGGAAAGCAAAAATGTACCCCACTGTCTCCGACAAATTGTTAAAAATAAATGGCAACAAAAACAATTCGCGCAGAAAACTGTGTCGAATTTGAAAATAATCACGCACTAACTGCAGGCGGCGGTGCAGGGAGTGGTGCTCCGCGGCCGTCTGAGGTACAAAATAGAGGTGTGTCGCTTACACTCGAACTAGGGAAGTGTGCGTTTTTCTTTTTGACTTTTCGAAATACATGCACAACATTCGGAGAAATGAAATTAATGGCTAAACTGATTGCCTCTAAAAACAAATAACTTTTCAAATCACCTTTTACTTTTACAAATTTTAGACCCTCTTTCAGTTTTTGTTTCAACCAATTTTCATATAATCTTTGAACAATTTATCTTATATGCTTTCTCTTTCTAAAAACAATCCTATATATTATAAAGTTAATATTTAATTAATATGCAGATAAGAATGAATACACGAGCTATTCGAACTCTGAGTGCACTTGTATAAAAATATCAGCAAGTTGCATGTACTTTAAATATTTAGCTTACTTTCAAATTTGTTTATAGAATAGCAATAAGCCATATATAGTATAGTAGGATAGTATTAGAAGCTTCATTTGTATAGTAATATATATTAGCTTTGCTAATGCATGAAGTCAGGTGTTTTAATGGATGCGTAGTGCGTCATAAATTCGATTGAATTTTAATGAAGGCCATTTGTTAGTTCTTCAAACTACAAGCGGACCGATATATGCAAATTACTGCACTTGTTTACTAAACTGTGAGTGCATTTATTGGAAAATATAAGAGAGCTGCATGCATTCTGCAAATGATTTCTTAACTAATATTTTAGAAGTGTTGACAAAATGGTTTATAGAACATATTTTCCTTTTGTTGCCCCTAAAACTAAGACAGGTATGCGAACAGAAACATTAACTCTGATTGCATTTCTATGAATATATTAGAGAGTTGCATGCATACTTCAAATGTTTTATTAAACGGCCTGTTCGTACAAATTTTAATAACTGCGTAATGTCTAGTCAACTTTAGTGTATTTTGATTGAGCTCATAACTTTAAACTAAATAATCTGCACAACGCTGTCGTTGCAACTAGGAAATATTGTAGGGTGGCCGGTGGGCTGCCACCAACACCACATGCCTTTGGCTTTTTGGCACGTGTTCAACGCGTTCAGGGAGTAATGACAAAACATCAGCAGCGACATGTGCATTTTTTATGCAACATTTAAGTGCAACACATTTGCGGCCGCAGCGTTTTAATTACAATAAACAAAAACAATTCAATTGACAGGGAAACACAAAATTGAGACAAAAATCCACGAGCGTGCAAATAGACAGATGGTCAGACGGACAGACACGAACATGTCATAAGCACAGACGCCAAGACCAAGTGGCCAAATTTCAAACATCAAAATGTTAATTGCTTTTGCACTCCGCTGCTAGCTGCTGGCTGCTGATAAACAAGAGCGGGCGGGCGAGCGAGGCGGCGAGAGAGCGGATGTCGCTGTCAGCGCTGCCTCGGCGTGTGACGCGGCGACGCTGCGACGTCAGCGGAGCGTTGAGGCTCTTGCACTTGTTACGCAAGCAGCAAATGGCCAAATTTATGTTGTTGTTGCTGCTCAGCACTGCGTGTCGCACTACGCCTTCACTATCTTCTCTCCATATATCTAAAAATGGGAAACGCCTGCTGTTTTAAACGCATTCTGAAGCGCTACACGCGTCAAAAAACGCGCACAAAACGCGCCGAACCGCTAAAAAGCGGCATTCAAAAGGTATGCGCAATGCGTAAGTATGTAAAATATTTATAACTTTGGCTTTTATATGCCTTTCACCCCGACAGTCAAGCAGGAGGGTCGCAGCCAACAAACAAACAAACAAACAAACCTCCAAACAACAACAGCAACAACAATTTATTGGTATGTTTATGCATATAGGTATGTGCCAAAGTGCAGGCCGATGCGTAAAGGTGACTAAAGTTTATATAAATGCTCTTTCCAAAAAATCGCTCAATCTGCTGTTCCAAACTTATTGGAGCATTTATTTCTTCTTTAAAATAAAATACGAACCAGTTCGATTGGATATTGAAAAGTGCTCGCAAACCTGACCCTGATTTTAACAAAAATTCGAATTTGTAATCTAAAAAATAAAGAAAAGAATTGGTGATATGGGTACAATAACCAAGAATTGCTCTGTCAGTTGATGCTCTTAATTCTCCATCAGCGCCTATATCATATGCTTTCTACTATATATGTATCTATATCTGTTTCAGTTTTACTTTCCGATCAGCCTCCACATTGTCTACTTCAGTCTGCTTGGCTTCGATGCTAGACGGTTAAAGTCAGTTATATTTATAGATCGCCAAAAGCAAACTCTGGTAATGCTTCTATCTAGTCATTATCAATTAATGTCACATGATTTCTACTATACTATATATCTATATCTGTATCAGTTTTGCTTTCCAATCAGCCTTCACAGCGTCTACTTCAGTCTGCTTGGCTTCGATGCTAGTCAGTTATATTTATAGATCGCCAAAAACTAACTCTGATAGTTCTTCTATCTAGTCATTATAAATTAAAGTTGAAATAGTCAACTATCTGCTCAACATTAAAGTCAATTAAAGAGTATCACAGCTTCGTTTTGAAATTTTTGGGCAACGTTGTTTATGTTGGAATTTATATTAAAACTGTATTTTGTTTGTCGCATGCGTTTTTAGTAAGCATGCTGCGGCGGCATAAAACACAAAACCGCAACAGCTACTGAGAGCATAAAAAACCGCAGCTAAAACAACAACACAACGGCGCATAAAAAACCTTAAGAAAGCTATTTTCAACACACATGCACTCACACACACAAACATTTGACACATGTGCCAAGTTGTAAAAATAACCGAAATAATCAAAATATGCTCAGTGTATATGGGAAAAGAACACCTAAACGCATGCCGAGCAACAAATATACACATTTCTATGACCACACACACAGATACTCACACACACACACACACTCACGCACGCACTGATACGACGAAATCACGCGACTTGCGCTTGTCATTCATAAGCCGCAATTAACAAATTATAAAGCACACACATAAAAGGCAAATGATAATTTAATACACGATACGGCACACGGCATATCATCATGTGATGGGGGCAGCAAAAGCAAAAGCGAAACACCACTAAAGATGCCCGAAAATAATTGAAAAGACAGGCAGATCCGAGAATGTCAGTTAGCTGTAAACAGGCATGAAATTGCTGGCAAAGTTAATGACAGTAATCGGCCAAGTAGCGCCGCATGCTTTGTGCAAATAAAGGCTCTGCAGAAGTTGGCAAAAAGCGAAAGTTAAGTATAAGGAACTTGCAGCTTTCTGTAAATAGTTATCGATGTATATAATTTTCTTATTCTTTCATGTTTACATCAAAAATAAATACCTTGCTAAAACAGCAACTTCTGTTTATTAATCAGTAGAATGACCGACTTTTGATATAAGCATTTTTTGTACCGTCAGAAGCCGATTATATGCAGCATTAAAGGACTAAAGAACCATATAATTTGAATCTGTCTAGTGCGAACGTTACTTTTCCTATTTTCTATTAGATATAGTCCAATACATCCACAATTTGTTAAACGAAATCCTGTT